ACCAATCTGAAGAGGAGAAATCCATTAATCGTCGTCTGTTTCAAGATTTGTGCTTTTATTATTTCTATTTGGGTACCATTATGTTTACAACTATTTGAATATTCTGGTTTGGTCTTTTGAGTGTTAGTAGTCTCTTTGGTGAAACAAATTTTGGTTATTTGTTGGCAACTGTGGGAAACATTGTGATGCAATTTTATTTAAATAATGGAAGGCCAATGTTGTGCCTGTAATTTCCATTGCGACAAAGTGTTTGGTATGGATGGCTTAGAGTGGAAACTTCAAATTGAAACCTCCTAGCTAACGAACAATTTATCAAGCTAAATTTTGATGCTTTAAGAGAGCTTCATGTTTAATCTATGGACATGGAGACACTATCTATCTTTGTATCTGCATGGTTTTTCACTATGCGTGATTCATATTCTCAATCAGAGAATCCAATGGTTGGTTGATAAATGCATCACGGTAGTAAAAACTTCAGTTAAATCTGTAGAGTTAATATCCATTAAATCCTTCATTGCCAGCATTTGGTTGGCAATGGCATTATGCAGAATCGAGATGGTGGGTATGAATGATCATCAGATCAGCTGTTTGGTTTTGAGTGGGAAATATGGATCATCATCACATTCACACACCAGCTGCAACCTTGGACGACATGATGATGTTGAGGAAACAGCAACACTCAACCACACTCAAAATTCGGCGGCCAGCAGCTGCAGCAGCAGGCTCTCTCATCTTCCGACAGGAGGAGAAGATGAAGAAGATCCAACGACTCTGATCAGGGTGTGGGCCCAACAACATCCTCCGGTCACCTATTTGATGGGCCCCAACTCGCTGCTCAAACATGTCTTGCGAAACTACTGTACACGTAACTCTCTTCTCTATGAATCAAAGCGTTTCCTTTACAATGGGAATAGGGTTCGCCAAAACCACACTCCGGCCGGTTTGGGAATGGAGGACGGTGATGCCATTGATGCAATGTCCCACATGTTGGGTGGTGGGGCTGCTGTTACTTAATTAAACCCATATCTTTGTGTATCGTACTATTTAGTATTTAGTATTTACTTTGTGTTGCTTTGCTCGCTAATTTGATTTGATTTTTTTTAATCGGCAGCTAATTTGATTTGATGTGTGTGAATTTTGTGGAGTTCGTAGAAAAAAGAAAAAGAGAAAGTGGATAGCTGGGTTTTCATCTTCTTCTTTTTTTTTTTTTTTTCTTTTTGTCTTTTTTACGCAAGGGGGGATTCTTGGAATGTAGAGCATTTGTCTTTTGTTTAGGGAAAAATAAAAAATAAAAATAAAGCTAGCTTCTTGAAAATCTGAGATATTACATTAGGAATTTCTTAAACACGTAACAGGATCATGTGCTCTTTGCCATTGTATCTCTCCTCTTAGTTTAAAGATGAAATACATTCACCCAAAATATATGTGGAGTTGCTTTTTCACAGACGTGAGTTCCGTTAGTTGGTCACAATAGAGAGTCTGTTCTTTACATTTAAGTTCGAATCTTCCTCTTTACAGAGTAGATTTAGCTTCTATTAAAAAAGTATAGATGTGCTTCCAATTAATTGACTAAAAGACAAAAAGTTTGATCTCCCTTACTGTCTCCCTCTTCTCTCAAATGTCATGACGACTAAAATGGAACTCTGAGCAATATTTGAATAAATTGTACCATCAAGCTCGCACGAAAATGTACCATCAATCACATGACTAAAGGTTTTCGTGCTTTTTCCCTCTCTCTTTTGTTTTGGGTTGTTGAAAATCTGTGTGTGTGTGTGTTTTTTGTTTTAAAGGAAAAAATAATAATATTGGTTGTGTGTTTAAATTGTTGTCCTCTTGATGGCAGGTCTCTCATTTGGGCACTCACAGACTTAACTCATCATCTCTGCAAAAAAAGGTAATTCTTTTTTGAAAATCTCGTTTTTGTTTGAGAAAGTTTCTGAATGTGTTTGGTTTATTTCGACTTACTTTTGTCTACATTTCGGTTGTTTTAGGCGCTTCTTCTCATCACATCACTTGGGGTTTTTCTTCTTTTTTGGTTTATTTTGCTCTTTTGTTTTGTTTTGTTTTGTTTTTGTCTTTCTTCACTTTTGTTGGATGGGTGGATTTGTTGTTGGTTTGTTTGGGGTTTGATTTCTGTGATTTGGAGGGGGTTTACTTTTCATACTAGGGGAGCTGATTAGGCTTGCAAAGAATCAGATTCAGAACGTATTTTTCAATGTCTTCGATTGAGCATTTTGTATTAAAATAGTGAGTGAAGTAGTGTATTATGGGCTCCATTTGTCTTCAAAGGCTCACATGTTCTGGTTGAAAGATCATCTTCAACTGGTCGCTGATCGTTTAGGTGTTTCTTCAAATGCTTGCAAAAGATGCTGTCTGACCGTTGCAATGCTTGAAAGATGTTTAGCTAATACTTCCAACTAGATGATTTTTCTTGTAACCCATATCAACTCTAAGCTCATAAAGCATCCATCTTTAAGATTCAAGCCTTTGCAAGTTGGCATTCTCTTTAGAGTCTATGCGGGTCGGATGTTTATATGGATATAGCTTCAGGGGTTTACTAATTCTGTTCTGATCTTTTAAAGACATCTAGTTTGCTATATTATGGCTTAGACGATGAAGAAATAGTCTACATTGTGATTTTTCTTCTGTATTGATAAATTTATTGGTTTATGGGTTTCCCTTGTTTGTTTTAAAAATCTTTGTATGCATTGGTTCTTACAACTTACAGGCACGATAATATTCTATTCTAAATGTGGATTTTCATTTGGGGTTTGCAGAACACTGATTGATCACTGTGGGAATGGATGATCACGTACCAACAATCACCCATGAATTGCTCATCAGGCTCTCTCTTCCGAAAGAAGAAGATGCTGCGATTCTTCTCAAGATTCAGTCTCAACAGCATCCTGACATCTCCTACATGACCAGCCCCAGTCTGCCTCTTGGACATGTACTTCGAGATTACTGTAGACGTTCATACCTGCACTATGAAGCAGTACGTTTCCTTTATGATGGAAAAAGGGTCAGAGAAAAGGATACCCCGGAACAGCACGAGATGGAGAATGAGGATGTTATTGATGCAATGTTGGATCAGACTGCCGGCGGTGGCCATGTTCTTTGATCTATTTTATTTAGCTGCTGCTATGAACTAAGTCATTTTGGAGCCTCCCCTTGTAATTTTCTTCTCAATGATCATTGGCTGCCTTGAATGGAAAGCAGTCATTAGTATGTTCAATTATCGAATTGCTAGAATATCATCAATTTGGGTCCTGATTAGTCATCATTATGCAACCAAACACCCACTCTCTAAACAACCAGAAATTCATTTAATAACGATATATATGCATTAAATAATGAGATATGCAGGGGAGTTTGGAGAGGTTTGGAATTTGGAAATTGGAATTGAATGACATTTGACTAGAATACATGGTCCAGCTACATGTGGTGGCTGCTTCATTTTCTTCATTTATTTGTAACGTTTGAAGTTGAACGCCACAGTCTATATATATATAGCTTCTAAGAAGCTGCAGTGCAGGCTGAGGCATTGTTTGTGTTGTGGGAATATGGATATGGACAGATGAACATCCACCCAGGAATCTCTCGTCAGGCTTTCTCTTGTGAAAGAAGATCCTCTAATTCTCAAGCTGCAAAAACAAGATGAACGCGACATGTTCTACAGGACTGGTCGAAGTGTGCTGCAGAAATATCTGATTCGAGATTATTGTGAACGTAAATGAAGAAATGCGTTTCCTTTTCGACAGAAAAAGGATAAACGGAACAGTTGGAAATGGAGGACGATGATGTTATTGATGTTATGTCCGATCAGTTTGGTGGCCAGGCCTGCCCATGATCTCTCTTTTGTTCACGTTCCATTTATTTTCTGTTTTTTCTTTGTTTTCTTTCAATTTATTTGATTCCTCCTATAAAATAGAATTTGGCCGAGCTCAGATTAGCTTAAGACATGTGTTTATACCAAAATAGACAGCCAACAAGAACAAGACACGTGGACAAATCGAGCCTGGTCATGGTAGCCTTCGGCACCTAACCTACCGATCCTTCCAATAGGGCAACCCCCTCTCCCGGACACTTGGCATGCTCATAATCAACATCCACAGTCCCACATCGAAATTCTAAACAATATGCACACCTCCCAAGGTCTATAAAAGAGGATGGCCATCCCAAAATGGAGGTAATCGGAGCTAACGGCATACAAGCCTATTGATCTGTCAGTTTAATTTACTAAATCCGAACTTACTTAAGCATCGGAGAGCCTTCAGTTGGTACCACACCGGTGCCTTAGGTCTTACCGAGCATTTGCCCATCTTGCAGATCACTCGCTCTACCGAAGCCCAAGGCATTCCGAAGGCCCAATATCACTAAGTTGAGCCCAAGAGTACTAAACCACTTTTTCGCATCAACAACATGTTTTTCTTTTGTTGCCTGCACTTATTTTATTCTCGGTTTAAAAATGAATTCATTGACGGAGATTACCACTCTGAATCTGATTATATTTTAAGTAGTACAATGCAAAACCCGGCCTAAATGAAATAATAATAACCAAGGTGCTTATTTGGTGTTTGGTGTTTGGTTTTATCCACTCCCTCTTTTGTTCCTTGTCAGTGCTGTCAAGCCAATGGCAACAACAGTCGAGCTTAATTACGTTGTGAGTTGCTGGAATATCCCAATCCATGTCCTGCTTCAAAATTGGACTCAACTTAATTAGGAGCTAGCAGACGATTAACCTCAATCATTTGACAGCTAGCATGCCGATTAAAGATGTTATTCAAAACCAACTACTTGGTCTTGATAAGCTTTGTAACCTCTCCTAAATACATCTCTCGACTCTGTTCAATTATTGACACCTAAATAAAGATCTTATGCCCTGTTGTGAGACTTGGCTTAGTTTTTACTAGCACCACCACCACCACCTAATTTTCTTGTTTAGTGCTAAACGTCGATGGTATCAATTACACAGAAGCCGGCCCCTAATGATCATTTCTTGGCATTTTCTGTATCATTTTGTTTTTCGCCGTTCCGTTCACAACATGGTAACTCACATTCACATGCACAGCCCTACTATATATATAATGTAAATCCATTGCAACAGAAGCAAAGCTCTCATTGCAATAGAAACAATGGGGCATCATGCTGATGGGGTTCCTCTTCCCTTCATTTTCTCTCTTGTTGCATTGTTTCTGTTGGCTCTGCATGTTAACATGTCTTTAGCAGCAGAGCGGTCGACTTATATTGTCCACATGGACAAGTCTCTCATGCCCAAGTCCTACGCTAGCCATCAACATTGGTACTCTTCCATTGTTGATTCTTTCAAAGCTCAAGTTCCCACCTCATCGGATGGCCACAAAATCTCACCATCCCTTCTGTACACCTATGACAATGCCTTTCATGGGTTCAGTGCGGTTCTGTCTGCAGAGGAATTGGAAACTCTAAAAAATTCCCCCGGTTTCGTCTCAGCTTACAGTGACAAGTTCATTACACTTGACACCACCCATACCACTCAATTTCTCTCCCTCAATCCTTCCACCGGTCTGTGGCCTGCTTCGAATTATGGTGAAGACGTCATCATTGGTGTCATTGATACTGGGGTCTGGCCAGAGAGTAAGAGCTTCAGAGATGATGGTATGACCAAGAAACTCCCAGCTAGGTGGAAAGGAACATGTGAGGTTGGACTGTTAGTCAAGTCATAAGAGTTAGGCAAGTAAGTTAGGCAAGTAAGTTAGGCAAGTCATAATTAGGCAAGTCATAGTTAGAGAGTTCAATTCCTCTCTCTGTAACTTTAAATTGATCGGAGCTAGATACTTCAACAAGGGTGTCATGGCTGCAAATCCTGGTGTCACACTAAGCATGAACTCTGCTAGAGACTCTGAAGGGCACGGGACACATACATCTTCCACAGCTGCAGGAAACTATGTAGATGATGCATCTTATTTTGGTTACGCTAAAGGAACAGCTAGAGGCGTAGCACCACGTTCCAGAGTTGCCGTGTACAAGGTTATCTGGGATGAGGGTCGTTATGCCTCTGATGTCCTAGCTGGTATGGACCAAGCTATAGCTGACGGTGTGGATGTTATTTCGATCTCCTCGGGCTTTGATAGCGTGCCATTGTATGAGGATCCTGTAGCCATAGCTTCTTTTGCAGCCATGGAGAAGGGTGTGGTGGTTTCAGCTTCTGCAGGAAACGAAGGCCCCAGCCTTGGGACATTGCACAATGGCATCCCTTGGATCTTGACTGTTGCAGCAGGCACAGTTGACCGCTCATTTGGTGGAACATTAACCCTCGGCAATGGGTTAACCATTACTGGATTTACCTTGTTCCCAACAAATGCCATAGTAGAAAACTTTCCACTGGTTTACAACAAGACCTTCTCAGCATGCAACTCAACAGAATTGCTATCAAGTGCCCCAAATGCAATCATCATATGTGATGACACTTGGCCTATTCGTAGCCAATTATTTTGTATAATTCAATCACAGGTTCTTGGAGCCGTTTTTATCTCCAATGATCCTGCAATACTTGAGTTAGGACATGTTGCATCTCCTAGTGTTGTGGTAAATCCAAAGGATGCACCGGCTGTGATCAAATATGCCAAAAAAAGTCCTAAGCCTACTGTCAGCATCAAATTCCAACAAACGTTGATTGGGACAAAGCCTGCACCAGCTGCTGCTTCTTACACTTCAAGAGGTCCTTCGCCAAGTTATCCGAGCATCTTGAAGCCGGACATAATGGCACCAGGGTCATTAGTTTTGGCTTCTTGGGCTCCCAAGGTTCCAGCCGGCCAAATTGGCTTCAATGTGTACTTACCTAGTGACTACAATTTGATATCCGGGACATCCATGTCTTGTCCTCATGCTTCAGGTGTGGCTGCCCTATTGAGAGGTGCGCACCCGGAATGGAGCGCAGCAGCAATTAGGTCTGCTTTGATGACCACGGCCAACCCCTTGGACAATACTAACAATCCAATTCGTGACGATGGTGATAATTTCAACTTCGCTTCGCCATTAGCTATGGGAGCAGGTCAGATTGATCCTAATAGAGCACTTGAACCGGGCTTAATATATGATGCAACCCCACAAGACTATGTCAATCTCTTATGCTCCACTAATTTTACCCGGAAGCAGATCTTAGCCATCACCAGATCACATGCCTATGATTGTTCCAACCCATCTTGCGATCTTAACTATCCATCATTTATCGCCTTGTACAACGACCATCACAAAACCAAGACAAAGGTTCAAAAATTTCAGAGGACCGTAACTAACGTGGGAGACGGTGCAGCTAGGTACAAGGCTGCTGTGATTGCTCCAAAGGGTTCTAAGGTGACAGTCTCACCAGAGGTACTGATCTTTGGGGAGACATATGAGAAGCAAAGCTTTACAGTGACTATAAAATACAAGGCGAAAAAGAAAGGAACTGTTTCATCCGGTGCACTTGTTTGGATAGAACAAAATGGAAAATACACTGTGAGGAGCCCCATTGTAGTGTCACCTCTTGTTTGAGTTGATGCCTTAATGGTCATGTCTCAGAGGCTTGGCAATTTAGATGAGAATAAATTTTTGAAGTAATCCACATTCTATGCATGCTAAGAGGAAATTGAGAAAATTAAAAGGTCTCTGTCTCTCTTATTTCTAATGGAATGAATGAATTTCTCTTTCAAAAGTAAGAAGACATGAATGAATCAAATCCAAATTACTGAGTCGCTTTGCTTTTCACCACCATCATCATCAGTATCAATTATGTGGCAATGGCATGACAATGAGTTGAGGGTATATGATATGACTGCATCCTCCAAGAAGGAAAGCAATAGCTTGCAAATGTTGATGAACACATGACCTATAATGCAGATTTTTAATTACCAAACAAAGTTTCTCCACTTTAGCTCCTTTAAAAATTTATATAAAAAAAACATTCATTGTTCAGCTGTCATTGCCTAATTGCCTAATTGTTTAGCTATCAACTCAAGTTTTGACTATTGGATTGGTGGTAATCTTTTATTGTTCCATTCCACCCCAGTAGCATTATTAGACGCAATTTAACTTGGCTTTTCATTTCACAATTTTTAAATCAAAATGTCATTCATACATATACTCTGTCAAAAGTCAGTA